TGCCATAAGCGTTAGTTGCTTGGAAATGTAAAATGACAAATTTTGAAATGGAAAAATAATAAATTGACGCTTTTGTTGGTAAATAGACTAATTTGCTGCTGACTTTTTTTATGAACTGATTTATGTGGAAAATTAAATAAAAATTGAAATACCCGTTACCCGTGCGGGTAGTTCTCGCTACCCGCAGATAACGGGTACCCGCAAGAATCGTGCGGGTATGCGGGTAACGGGTACCCGACCCGTTACCCGCGGCAACCCTATCTGAAAGTACGATCGCGGTAGTATATTTGGCACCGAATAATAGTAAATTTGTTGCTAAACTGGTAGTAAGTGTGGCCGCAGAGTAATAAATATTGCTAGCCTACATAGCACCATATTTACCATTGGTAATAAATTTATGTTATACCATTCCATTCTAATAACATAATAATATGTGTGTATAATCACATTTGATTCCATACCGGATTATTTAGAGTGCCTAGATCCACGTGAATTTACTTATGTGGTTATGTAATTTGCAAAAAACCGCAATTAGCGACATATGTACAAGTAGGTGGTTTTGACACACATTTCAGATATAAAAATATGAAGGATTACGTACCCAAAAGGGCAAATCATTTCGACAAATCGCAACAAAGGGCTAGGTGAAATATGAAATATAAGGTGATCATAAGGTCATTTGGACTCGAATTGTTTCACATATTTATGTAAATACATCGGTATGTTGATCACTTAATTCGTCCCATCATAAGTTCGCGATAAATTGTTTTTTTTATTTTAACAAATTTTTGAAATGCAGAACAGATTTATTCAAGCATGCAGTTTTTTTAGATTTTGCAATTTGTATGAAAGTATTGAATTTTTTGAATTTTTGAATTTTTGAAATTACGAGGAGTAAAAAAATTATCTGATTATAATTATTTTCATAACCTAACCGTTCAAACATAAATTGTTAAATGCTACACACATATTGTGACAAATTCTGCATACCCAAATATACCGCTACCCATATTTCCGAGACCAAAATTTCTGCAGACCGAAACTTCCGATACCCATATTTCCTTATACCCAAATTTCCATACCCAAATTTCCGAGACCCAAATTTCCATACCCAAATTTCCGTACACCCTAAAATGTGATAAAATTTCCAACCCCTGAGTTGCGTGAATAAATAATCTTTACCAATTGTCCACTCATTCTGTACTTTGTACTTGGTCCTCATTGTTACTTTAATATTTTCGAGTTTGCTAATCCATCCCAATACAGCTATATTTGGGCAAGTTCCATCCGTCGATTTATTTGAGGCGGACATTTCCTTAAAAAATTCTTGCTTGTAGCTCACCCCTTGATCAATTAATTTGGTAATCACTTTGTCATAATGTCTCGCTGATATATCTGATGCAAACGTGGTCGTAGAACCCAGAATACCCATCTCGAGGGCTACAAATTCAGACATTTGCACTGGGTAAGGGTTGCTTATTGCTATTACTTCACTATATATTTTATAATTCTTCGTATCATTTAATACCTGATCGAAAAACAGAAATGGCCTACTTGAAGCAGTTGCAACTATATTTTTAAAGTTATCACCTCTAAATGCTTCCGTTAGCACGAGGGATGCTAACCCTAATCCAGCCGTAACAAGTTTTACTTTGAAGTTCAAGTTGCTTAATATATTTGAACCTTGTTCAATTTGTAGCTGGAATGCGAAAAATATGTGGAAATACAAAGATTTGTCTATGAACAGAAATATACAAAGACCACCAAAGATGTTTGAAGCCAAAATTGCTAGCCAACTTACCATATCAAAAGCCAGAAATAATTTCATTAAAGAAATTTTTATGTTGTAATTCCTCCCACAGGAAAGGAAACTATATTTCTTAACTTCCCTTACAATTCGGTAATCTTCTTCGGATGCAGTATTTATGTTCGGACTTACAATGTGACGATCTTTAAACTTCAAATCATGGACATATTGGGCACTCGCATTTACATCGTTTAGTAAGATGGACAATATAAAATCACTAATCGTAGCCTGACCTGGCTTAACAATATCCTCTGATGCAGTTATGCTTGAAAACCTTTCATGATTTAAGACTGGTACTATCCTTGGTAGGTCAGGTTTATATCTTCCGTACGGCATGCGGATACTAATCTTTGCCTGATTTATAATTTTATTGTGTTTGGTCTCCATTTCATCTTCCAAACTAGTTAAGCTAGGAACAAATGAATCGTCACCATATTTAACAAATGTTCTGCCAGATGGACTGCAGTGTCTACAGCAAACTAAAAATTCCACAACCTCAATGCCTGTTATTCTGGTTGCAATATGCTCAGCGCTCGACGAAATTACTTTAGAGTTTAAGATTATTAGATCCAGCATGTCATTGTTCTTTAGGAAATAATCCATTTCTAAATTCCATGCAGACTTCAGTTTGTTCCTGGAGGCCAATTTTACAAGGACTTGATACCCCTTCCTTGGGTAAGAGTTAAACGCGTACGGATATTTCTTACCATAAGTTGTAAATGTTTCCTCAGTAAGTTTAGGATATTTCCAGTTTGGTGACTTTGGGAATAAATAAAATCTTGTGAAACAGTTCCAATTCTTTTGCAGGGTTTTAAATATTATGGAAAATGGTTGCTTCCCTTTCATTTCAGATTGAGTTGCGCCTGTTTTCTGATATTTAAAAGGTGTGGAACCGTTAATTGTTAGGAAGAAATGTAGTCTCGCATCTTCGTGTGCATTAGTCCAGGTGAAAGAGTTATAGGGTACAGGTTCATGCCGAGATAGTATTACTGGTGTTGAAGAAGATTGAATGTGATTGTAATTGTAATTAATTAAATGAACAACGCAAGGTTTAAATATACTTAAATACAAGTCCAAATTTGTTAAAGGTATTGTAGCCAAATCGTTTTCAATGGGTGATGCCCCGCACAGGAGGCTTATTGTGTGTAATATACCAATTAATTTACATGCGTGAAGACTTTGTTCTAATAAACTATAAATGTTATAAGCCATTGTCCTTTAACGAGAAAGTTTCCAGGAAATCAGGAATTGAGCAAAAATGTAGGCTGCGAGACAGTTTTAATGACGCCTTTGACTTTTAGAAGCTAGCTGAATATTCTGAGGTCTAAGAATCAGCATATTCGTGCAACATAGGTATATTCATGCTTGATATGGAATACATAAGAGCTCTCCACTAAATAAAAAATGTTTGGCATGACGCGTGTTATAATATACTAGCGTGTAAGCCATTGGCTCGTCGGGGCGAGTAGATTTTAAATTTCCACCTAGTTAAATATTTCGTTAGCTGATAGTTTTTGATGCTAACTTCTAATTAGTAAGTGGATTAGTAATGTAAAGGTCAAGAGGTTAACCTCTTGACCTAGCATGCACATAAATTGGAAAATTGATGGAATTTTTTTAAGTGATCACCATACTAGTCTCACCACTTGCTACAATTACTACCCCATTTACAATATTTTCATAAGACCGGTCATTCGCTCCGCTCGTTGTAGACCATCAAATATAAATATAATAAGTAATCACCATCAGCTCGCAACGTCCCCACAATCAAATTGCAGCCACGCCCCATTCAAGTATGAGTTGCACAATTTTACTCAGCACAATTTGGAGTGCAATAATCATACCTCATAACTTTCATTCATTTGACTTATTATGATATGTATGTTTTCACGGATAATGAATGAAAATGAATTTATTCTCATCCGAATGAAAATAACCGAAAGAATCCATAATTTTTGATGAATGGCTACGAATTGAAGAAGTTCTCACTCCCTTCGCTTTTCGATGTATGTTTAGTACATATATGGGGCGAAGTGAGAAATGAAGCCATATGAAGTGAAATGAAGGTTGAGAGAAAATGATTGAATTGGAATGCTAATTTTCAATCAGAAATCGAGATGATTGATTTTTTGAAGGATTTTTTTTAACAGATCTTCGTATGATAATATTGGCGTATTGCAGGAATGCCTGTTTCTTGGGATGCTAAATGTGTATACATTACTTCTTATTTGTGAATGGTATATCTACAACAAACAATAATTTATGGCGACATATGCATTTTATTATAACGTTTATAATATCCCTAAAGAAGCCGAAATCAATTTTTTAAGCTCTCCATGACTATATTTTTCCGTAGTCCGTGGGCCACTTTTAAAACAATCCAATAATTAAATAAATGAACTAAATACACGCGATCAAATACATATATTCTCATACATAAATATTTGATGCACAAAAGTTTCAAATGAAATATTTACAAAGTTTCCAACGCTTTGGTTCGACTAACTACATATTGTATTAACTCGATGTCAGCATTACACTACAACGAATTTTTACCTGCGTAGAGTTACATGCTAGCCAATTATGTATCACGGAGCAGGAATTTCAATTTCAATTCATTTCAGAATCATTACCCGAGTGTGAGCATAACAGATTTCTGAAAAGTTCAGGTTTTAAAAATATCACTTCTCTGTTCCATATTTTTATTCCCCCAACCTTAAAATACATTTGATTTTATTTACTAGCCGACCTAGACAAACAAGTATGTATGTAAATGTTGCAGATAATCTGGGTCGAAACGGCGGTGCATGAATAATCTGGCAATATGTACAAGGTGTCTCTAAATATTTACATCTCGTTTGCCTATTTTTCATACCGCTTGTCGTAACAAAGTTGTCAACAGTATAAAAAGAACTCGTATGGCGCACATGTGTAAAGCAACACTACGAGACCAGCCATGTATGTACCAAGTAACATGTCTCATCAGGTGAGAAACCACACCATGTTAATATCTACTAAAACTTGTATTTAATTGTGTCCCATTACTGCGAGCTTTGCCTTCAGTTTTAAGACGAAGTATAAAAAACCAAGAATGAAACCAGTTTTTAACGCGTACAAATTCCTCCCAAGATCCTCTTTGCTTACTTACTTTTCTCAATCTTACTCGGTCTTCACAAATGCCTCAGCTTTTCAGTAACCAAGTCTTCCTCGCGTAGCCCTCATAGGGATGCAGCTCTCGTAATTAATCTCAAAAGTGGTACATACATAAAAAATGGGAATATTAAGCAGTTCAGGGGGTGGAGGAGTTAGTCTTTCCGGTGGGGGTGGGGGCGGTGGGTTATACGCAGGTGATAGTGGTCTCTGCGTTTTTACCTGTGCCGCCATCCTCTCCCTTGCGTCCCTCTTTGATTTCGATATCGGGTCGGAAAGTGCCTTCTTTGCCACGACGGGATTGGGAGCCTTGTGTTTTACGGATTGTCAATATTTGAGACTGGTGCAGCAAAGGGGTGGATTTCATGGCAAGGCAGGGTTCGGTAATCGAGATGGTGAGTGAAATTAGTTTGTTGTGGGCAATAAATGTCACGAAACTTTCTGTAATAATTCTCTGGTTGAAATTTTAACAAATACTCGACATTTCTGGGAACAATATGAAAATAATGTTTAACAAGTTCTACTTTTACGTTAACGGAATGATTAAGTGCTACTATTTGCGTATCGATTTGCACATAAATCGCAAAATTTTTATCTCTTCAACTTTTCGAAAGTTAATTCATGTCAATTTTATTCAGTTATTTATATAGAATTTTTCTGATAACTTTGCAAGTTGTAATACATTTTAGAGTATGTTAAATAAATCTGCATAATTACGCTAATCTTACAACTTGAATTTTTTTCAGACCTGGTCAAATCCTTCGGTTGGACACTAGCAGATCTCCAATTTGGACGCGGGGGAGGTCGCCGTAGAAGAAAAATACTACCTGAGGAAATGCACCACCAGGACGAAGTTTTAATTATGAGCCACTCTTTCAAGAATAAGCGGAAATCCAGTTTACATGGCATTCCTGAAAAAAGTTCGTGAAAGCGATGCAAAACGAGTTTTTCAAAATCTTGTCCTGGATATTGTTATGTTTATTCCCCGAGAGAGAGATGACAATTTCTAAAAATATTTATTTCTATTTACTTGGAGACCATACATTATTAGCTCACCCTGCGTAGCATGAGAGCTATTGAATTCCTCTTGTCCGTCCGTCTGTCTGTGTGTTCACGAGTTTTTTGCATCAATTGATGCTAATTAATAAGTCCCAAGACCATTTTAACCCTAATTTGTAGCACAATTGGTATCAAAAAATCGTTAACGCAAAATGGTGCGAAATAATTGGAGGAATCGATGTATTCTGCACCAAGGATTATGATTAACTGAAAGTTCTAGTTAGCCTTGGCTGACATAACTTAACCTCGAAATCGTGTCAAAATTTAGTCCCAATTTTAACCAATTCGGCTGCACCATTGGTGCAACATTATATCAAATTTCTGTTACCCCCCGTTTATTCTGTACCATTGGTGCACAATTATATAAAAATTATGCATCTATTTTATCCGCTTATTTTGCACCTTTGATGCAAAATTATGTGCAACTAATTATTCCAGGGTGAGCTACTTCTAACGTTACTACGGTTTATTCCACTTACTAAGCGTATGGTTGTGGTTCGAAATATGAACATAAGAGGTACATATGTATGTTAATATGAACACACATACTTACATATGTATGTGTATGTTTTTTTAATATTTTAAATTATTGTTCCCCTCCAATTGTTGTGTTAAGCTTATATATGCTACATAAGTAATATTTGTCAGAAAATATTGCAAAATATACAGATATTAACTGATACCCCGTAGCTGGAAATATTTTGAGACAAATCCATTATTTACAGCTCATATGTACAAAAAAGGGGGTACTTATTATTTAATTCTCTCTAAATGGAAAACGGGGAATCAAACCTTCGTGTGATCATATGAGTCAGCATAGAAGTCTTCCGTCGTCTAGTTGTTGTTGAGTTGATAGACACGCGAAGAAGAAATATAAATGCGCAACTTAAAAGTTGTTTGTAGTTCTAAATTTAAACAAGTAGCGATCGACTGTGCAAGGAAATAATAAACAACATGTTTTGAACTTTCTCAAGAAATAGATATCCCCTCTCCTTGATTAATTTCCAGGCTCATACAGAAATCAATTTTAAGTCCGTGTTTGTCAGTATATTTTGGACTATTTTAAAATTTTAAGGACTGTTCGTTGAATCAGATTTCGAATATTTTCAAAACTCAAACAAGATATCTTTTTAAGCAACTACATATAAATATACACGAACTTCAAAATTCATCACGTCAGGACTAAATTGCCAAATGAGGTCGTATTCGTTGGCCAATTTGTATATTATGTTTATTTCTACGATTTCCACCACATTTAGCACAAATTATAAACCTACCACGATAAATTTAACGCAATCTATATTTCAGCACTTGGATCCTGACTGCGACTTAATTATAGGGCACTATAACAATTCCCAAAATTTTGACTTACTTTTCCCCCCTCTTCCATCAAAGAGAGGTATTTACATATTTCATCTCCCACAAATTAACATCAGTCTGGCCTCTATCCGCCCAGACAAAATTTCTCGTGGGATTTATTAAACTTCGCAGAAACCTCAGTATTCCTCAGGAGCATTCTGTTTCATCGGCGTCACTATCACACAAAATTCAGATTTCGGCAGGAACCGAGAAGAAATTGATCATTTTCAGTTTGCAATCCTTAGCACGCACCAAGCAAATAGTATGTACGATATAATATACAAGAAGCATCCCGGCAATATATATACCGCCGAACAATCTAACTTCCACGTCTCATTCCTCATTCGCGTCCAGTTGAACTTTACACGTTTCATGGCAGAAAGCTATGTCCGTACTGCGTTATTTACATTTGGATTAAATTTAATACTAGTGTCGGGACAAGAAGAGTGGCATCTAACTACTCCTTAATTATAATAATAAATACAATCTAGGACCCCGAATTCCGCAACAAAATATTATCCGTTCAATCAGTGACCATTCCCGCTTTCATTCTCTTTTCGCACCTCCGACAGACCCTTATGGGGAAACCAAACGAAATTCGTTCCTCGTCCTGCGCGGATATTCTTCCTTCTCGGAAAGAATGTTGCCCGGCATATGCGCAAGACCCATTTTATTTAATCAGGGAAAAGCGATATCTCCCTCGTGCCATACTATTCTTTGCTCTGGTTTGCCTTGGAAATTTCACGCATGGCCACGCACACGATGATGCCACGTCGGCCAGCAAATACCACGGGTGCAGGGGTCGGGAGAAGTATACATCGGAGGAACAATTATTCATTAACGAATACAGGGAAAGCACAGAAATGCACCAATGTTATACTCGACCACTATGAATCAAGGCTTCTCTTTCATGACCTGCTTCTCGAGGGAGGATTTGTCATTTAAAATATTCCTAAAGCCATTCGAATTAGAAGTTTGGATCGCTTTATTGGTGACCATGGTAATCACTGTAATTGTTTGTGTGGCTATTTTAATAACGAAATTGAAATGGGGATTCCTTGATGCGCTATCGCTCTCACAGCTGGCAGTTGTTTCCATTGTGCTAGAAAAACCGACTGATATTGAAAGGAAAATTGGGAGGATTCGGGCATTTAAATTCCTATTCGGGCTCTGGTTGCTGCTTGTTCCGATACTAACAAATGGGTATTTGGGTTTAAGCATTACGGAAATATCGTCTCCACTGGAATCAAGATCTGTAACAAGATTCGATCAGTTAAGCCAGCCAGGATGTAAACCTGCAAACAATGAATGCCACATTAGCCGGATTAAAAAATTTCACAAATCCTTGAAGGCTTTATGGAAACATTGGGATACGTCTTGGCGCAGAGCGACATATATCGAACCATTCTGGGTGGCTAATCGTCCTACAATTGAGGACTTACTTCGGACCGCAACTGCCCTCCGAAATCAGTCTATTCGAAAATTTGACCTCAATCAGGACTTTGTCTTGCTCCCGTATTCTCTTGACGAAAACTTATTTTCGAACTTGCTTGATCACGGGAACAACTTCGATAGACAGCTGAAAGTGAAATTAAAGTCTAAATTAGATAAAATTTTACCAAAACTAGAATTGGACGACAAAATAATATCAACGAGCTCTATGGAAATTTTAAAATTACTTGATTTAATTGATCCGCTGCACATACCACACCCAATCCTTGAAACCTTCACCGATACGAAATATATTGGAGTGGGATATTGAACATGCCCTCGTGCAATGTGGTCGAACTGCCCTTGTCTTGGACGATAGAGAAATCAATAAGGAACTCCGGTACTTCGAGAAGTACTACCCATGGATTAAGTTTTTCAAGTCGGAGTCCCCAATCTTGACGGCAGAATCAGGATGGAAATTCTACATAAAGGCAATATCAGTTGCACCGCCAATATTTGCAAAACTCTGTCGCGGGCATCGTCCAACTACTGGAGGACTGGCCTCACATGGAAACAGCGCGGAGGGCCAATCTTACGAAAAAGGTTCAGACTCTGGTGGAGCACGGGGCGGCAGAAGCTGTTCAAAAAATGTGTTTAGGTGGAAACTGTCACACTGTCTTTTATATATACTTGGTATCCATTTGCATTTCGGTGACTAAGATTTTGGCAACGGAGATTAAAGTACCTACATGGAAAAATTTGGCATGGATTAGGCGTTTTTAAGTGCTGGTTTCTAGTGAAGTGGAAACACTTTAGTTAACTGAGTAATAATCAATGCAAGAGTCCTTCTGATGATTATGTATAGGAAGTTAGCCCAGCCCAGCCCAGAATTTAAATTTTTAAGCTTTCCCGCTGTCGCTGGGGATGATTTGACGACTGAAATGTGTTCCCTAACACTTCTAAATAATTCCCTAAAATTTTCAGCCAAATCGGTGGCGGGAAACTTTTGAAAAATACGAAAATGTCGTTTTTTGCCCCGCACCCTCGATTTTAATGAATTTTCATAATTTGTAAAGTGCGCGCGAGCGTGTTCTGATTGCTGAAATATCTTCAGGGATACTTGGAGAGTATTTCCTGAAAGTTTCAAAAAAATAATACGTCGGGGACCCCATCAAAACTGGACAAGTTTGCATTTTTCTCCTCTCCGCCCCAGTTTTCTCTTTTTTAATGAATTTTGACAATTTCAAAAGTGCGTGCGGGCGAGTTCTGATTTCTGAAATATCTTCAGGGATACTTGGCGAGTATTTCCTGAAAGCTTCAAAAAAATCGTACGTCGGGGACCCCTTCCAAAATTGACAAATGTCTATTTTTATCCCCCCAAACCCTGCTTTCTCTTTTCTAATGAATTTTAACAATTTCAAAAGTGCGTGCGGGCGAGTTCTGATTTCTGAAATATCTTCAGGGATACTTGGTGAGTATTTCATCAAAGTTTCAAAAAAATCGTACGTCGGGGACCCCTTTGAAAATTGACAAGTTTCTATATTTTTTATCCTCTCTGTCTCAGCTTTCTCTTTTTTAATGAATTTTGACAATTTCAAAAGTGCGTGTGGCCGTGTTCGGATTTCTGAAATATCTTCAGGGATAACTGACGTGTATTTCCTCAAGGTTTCAAAAAAATCGTACGTCATGGACCCCTTCCAAAATCGACGAATGACATTTTTATCCTCTCTGTCCCAGCTTTCTCGTGTTTAATTTATTATGACAAAATCTATGCTAATAATTGTTTCCCATTTTTTCAAATAGTTACATCACGGGCAAATAACTTAAGAGGTAAGCCATATTTCTTTAAAAATGATGTTGTTAACGTAATTTATATAAATTTGTTCAAGCTGTAATATATAGTATTTTACGCTTTTGGCAGTAATGCTATTTGGACCCTTTACCAACAGCAACGCAAAATTAAACAAGTGTTGACGGAGTTGGAACTTGACAAGGTTGCCAATGGCAACGGGTCGTCATGTTTAGGCAATCTATTAATGCTCACTTAGGATTTTGCACTTTACATATGCATGCAAATGTATGAGAAGTATGTACATACGTAGTCCATTTGCGTTGTCATAGAGACTTGGCTGTTTATCCTTTTGCTATTAAATACATTTATGGTAGATTTGCATATAAACAGTCACCGGAGTGGTCTGGGTTAGGTAATATCTAACAAAATATATTTCACTAGATTATAAGGCCGTCGAAGATAATGAGCGTTATGTCAGTTCTTCGACTGTAGTAGTAATAATTAAAATACAATTTTTCATAACCAGTATATTTTATTCTTTGAAATTTTTGAATTTTTTTTCCATCTATTTAGTTTATAATATTAACGTCTATCGAAATATAACAACAGTAAATAAATTAAACGCGATGCAAGTTTAGAGAATACATAAATCAAAGTATACATACCTTGGTACTACATGTATGATATTTATAATACTAATGCATTGTCATCCCACAATTCAAAAGTTTATGCTTACAGGAAAAGACTAATTTTTGATTTAAAACTCAATTGTAAATTTTTGGGTCTGTTTTTGTTTAATGTTTTTGTTTAATCATTATTTTTATCAAAAAATGTGAAAATTTGAAACCTTAGTGCATTGAGATATTCTTATTTCAGATGAAATTTTGTTTAAAAATTCCCCCACCGGCAAAACATGCGGGTTGAACAAGGCTCAAAAGTGCGCTTATGTGGAACAATTGAATTTTTTTCGCTGGAAATACAAAAATACACTTTGCAGGAGTTGAGAAAAATTATAGAATTATTTTTCCTACAAAATTTTGGGATATTTGATCGCCATATGACCTACTCTTAATGCGATGAGTTGTTTGTCTCTATGCACGAAAAGTTGAAAAAGGTTGTGGTAAATTCAGATCGATAAACCGAGAAATTTTGTACTCAATTTAGAGTGGTTGCCAATAGCAACGCGTGGATACGTGCTGATCGAAGGGTAGGGAGATGCTGATGCGGTTGCCATAGTTACAGGTTGAATAATAATAATACTCAACTCCGTTTAGTCATGTTATTACGCTGCAAATATTATCGCCGTTGGGATTTGCTTGTTTAAACGTACATATGTACGTCCTACAGATACATATATATATGTATGTATACCGGCTGTTCGT